CCCATGGTTGTATTGAATAGTCTAAGAATATATAGTACACTTTACTAGTAACTATAAATCTTTTTTTTTTTTTAATTTTTAATGTTTTATTTATTTCTAGGGGAGAGAGAGAGACAGCGTGAGCAGGGGAGGGTCAGAGAGAGAGGGAGTCACAGACTGAAACAGGCTCCAGGCTCTGAGCTGGCAGTCAGCACAGAGCCCGACGCGGGGCTCGAACCCACGAACCGCGAGATCATGACCTAAGCGAAAGTCGGACACTTAACCGACTAAGCCACCCAGGCGCCCCATAAATCTTTCTTTTTTTTTAAATTAAGTTTTAAAAGAAACGGTCATTTGATTTTTTTATATATATATTTTTTAGAGAGAGAGACAGAGAGCACATGTGTGAGCGAGGGAGGGACAGAGGGAATTCGCAAGTGGGCTCCCCGCCATCGGTGCAGAGCTCAATATGGGTCTCGAACTCACAAACCACGTGATCGTGACCAGAGCCAAAACCACAAGTCGGCTGCCCAGTTGATGGAGCCACTCAGGTGCCGCAAAAGAAATAGTCACTCTAAAACTAGTTAAGTGTTCAGTGGGGGAGGGAGAGGGGGTTGATCCAATTACTCGGGGTTTTTTTGTTGTTGTTGTTGCTTTTTAACTAAATATGTAGCTGAGGTAGAGCTGTCCGGGGGACGTAGGACAAATCTTTTCGGCCATGTGACATCTCACCTGGTTCTCTTGTAGGCCACAGCTGGTTTTTGTTTTCTCTGCTGCTTGCAAATCAGAAAGCCATTAAAAAGTTAACACTCTGTTGGGAAAACCTTGTCCTAACTTAGAAATTTAGAGAGAAATATTGAGTCTGTGATCGTAAAGCCAAGAGCCAGAGCTTAAGCAGAAGTTTTCCTGGTTGAAGAAAAGGATGGTGTGTAAAGGAAGAGAGGAACTGACTACAGAAATGGCCCACGAGCCCCAGTGTCCTAAGGATGTCATTTTACCGTGCCCTGCGGTCCTGTGTGCACAAACACATGCGCAGACACCCACAGACACTTGGGGCTGGGAAAGGAGAACCAGGCTCTTGCAAGCACGTTGTCTGTCTGCACCGAAACACTTGCTCTGTAGAAGCCAAAATGATCTGTCCGCCAGAAGAACTCCGCGTTTTGTTGTCTGATGAAAATACTGGTAATTTTGTAGAAAGACTCGACACAGCCTGTTTGAAAAACCCCAGCTCTTCTGCTGCGTTTTCAGCCATCACTGGTGGTGGCTTGGCCGCGTCACGAAGCGACAGCTGCGGGCTAACTGCACACACCACATACAGCTGTGTCCATGCGTCTTCATTTTCATCACAAACACAGCATGCTGGCTTTTCTTCTACAGAGGGGTTCACACTCAACACCAGTTTTGCAGTTTGGACCATTTGGCAGAGTCTGGAGACGTTTTTGATAATCAGAACCGTCGAGGGTGGGTGGGGAGATTGTGCTGGCATCTGTGGGATTAAGACTTGGACGCTCAACTCACCGAGCCACCCATACACCCCAGATTTTACTTATTTCTAAGCACCCAATGTGACAGAATCAACGAGGATATGACTAGGGGTGGTGCCTGAGGCCTTTCAGGCTGCTGTGACAAATCCAACAGACGGGGCAGCGTCAACATCACATTGATTTCTCGCAGCTCCGGGGGCTGGAAGTCTGAGACCCAGGCACTGGCAGGTTTTGGATCGGGTGAGGATCCACTTCCTGTTTCCTAGACAGACATCTACTCATTGCGTCCTCACATGGCAGAAGGATGGGAGCTCTCTGGGCATCTCTAATATATGAAAGTGCTAATCCCGTTCGTGTGGGCCCCAACCTCATAACCTAAACACCTGCCAGCCGCCCAGCCATTCAGCACAGAGTGAATTTGTCATTGTAAGGGATTCAGCATTACTGCCCTGCCTGATGTCCGCAAAAGTCCGTTCAGCATTAGTGTTCCGTGGTGCATGATTTCGTTATTATTTACATTCTCTCCCTTCACTGATGGTTTTTTTTTTTGTTGTTTGGTTAATGCTCTGGTCTCATAGTTTTTTATTTAGTCTCTAACATTTTCCTAATGCTATCTTATGAGTGGCTTTCCTAGAATTCAAACAAATCTCAAGACCCATCTGTATTTTGACTGTCAGATTTTCTCATTGGTATATACAAAAGTACAGAATATCACCAAATTAAAGATGATAAGCATTTAAAAATTTTTTTAAACTTTTTTTAAATGTTTTATTTATTTTTGAGAGAGAGAGAGACAGCATGAGCAGGGAAGGGTCAGAAAGAGAGGGAGACCCAGAATCTGAAGCAGGCTCCAGGCTCTGAGCTGTCATCACAGAGCCCTATACGGGGCTCGAACCCACAAACCATGAAATCATGGCCTGAGCTGAAGTTGGACACTCAACAGACTGAGCCACCCAGGTGCCCCAAAAATATTTAAACTTTTGAATTTGTTTTTGAGAGACTAAGAGACAGTGCAAGTGGGGGAGGGGCAGAGAGAAGGAGAGAGAGAACCCGAAGCAGGCTCCAGGCTCTGAGCAGTCAGCATAGAGACTGAGGCGAGGCTCGATCTTGTGAACCATGAGATCATGAGCTGAGCCGAAGTTGGACGCTCAACCAACTGAGCCACCCAGGCACCCCAAGATAAGAATTTTCTGAGTGGCAAAATTCTGGTAACTACAGCAAAAGTTGGGATAATGCAAGAAGCGGTCATGCTGCTTATTCATTGTTACCTAACCATTACCACAGGAGCCACAGCTGGAAACAACACATTTCTTATGTCGAGTGTAGGCACCTGTTTGCTGGGTCCTCTGCTCAGGGTCTCAGGGCTGTGGACAAGCTGGTGCCTGGGCTGTATGTGCATTTGGAGCTTGGCTGTCCCCCTATCCTGCCCCCAGGGTTCCACCTGCCTTCCACCTCCCTTCCTGGGGAGGAGGTGGTCTTCTAAGCTCATGTTGGCACAATTTCCGTTCCTTGTGGTTGTAGGGCTAAGGTGCTAAGCTTCCTGCAGGCTGCCCCCAGTGCCATGGGCAGTTCATATGATGGTAGCCTTCCTCTTTGAGGCCAGCAGGAGAGTGTTACCTCCAGTCCTACAGAGTCTTATGTAATATAGCATAATAATTACGGGAATGACGTCTGGTCACCCTGACTATAGGACATGACCCAACGAGAGGATTGACATCCATGTCCTTTGACATATTCCATGGGGTAGAAGTGAGTCACAGGTCCTGCCCACACTTGGGGAGGGGATTTTACCATGGAGGGTAAAAATCAGGGTATGTTCCTTACAACAGCCTGTAGTATGAGTGCTCCCCACTTGAAGGTCTACTTTGCCCTTTTATTTTTTTTTCTAAACAAATAAAAAGTTAATCCTCATTTAATGATAAAAGTTTGGCCACCATTAGAAATGTCTGAAAATGTGAAGTGTGGACTCTGAAGACTCTTGCCAAACAGCGTAAAATGTTTGGTGTCAGTGACATCACTTAAACGGGTCACAGCCTTTCTTGGCTTCAGCTTTTCAGAGTAAGCGCTCCTTTTGGTGTGTACGTTCTAGTCTGTTGGTATATAAAAGAGCTCTGTGGCATGACCGGCCCCTCCTCTCTGTGGGCTGGCTTACTCACATGCCTGACTAGGATCGGTGGGAAGAAAATCAGGCTGTCCTAGGGGCGCCTGGGTGGCTCAGTCGGTTAAGCGTCTGGCTTCGGCTCAGGTCATGATCTCACGGTTTGTGGGTTCGAGCCCTGCATCGGGCTCTGTGCTGACAGCTAGCTCAGAGCCTGGAGCCTGTTTCGGATTCTGTGTCTCCCTCTCTCTCTGACCCTTCCCTGTTCAGGCTGTCTCTCTCTCTCTCAGAAATAAATAAAAAAAAAATTTAAAAAAAATTAAAATAAAAAGAAAAGAAAAAGAAAATCAGGCTGTCCTGGACACAGGGGGCCGTGGTCACCGTACCCTCATCCCACCCCCAAATTTCCACCAGCTTTCCAGCTACCAGGAGGTCTCAGCGACACTGATGCAGTGAGTTCTGTGACAAAATATAAAAGTTGGAGTTTTGCTCTCTGTCCATGCTCCAGGGTCCCTAGACCTGGCTTCTTCATAGAAATAATGTCAAGGAGACCTGCACGGTTCACTCCTCGAGCATGATTGCTTTCCTTCTCCGTACTGTAGACGCCTGTACACAGTGACTATCGGCTTATCACTTAAACTCTGTGAGTGAAGGGTATTATGATTAATCATTTCTCTAGAACAACAGGTGTGATCCAGTCCAGGTGGTCACCTGCCTTAGGGGTGTTGACATGACTTCTGGTCTACTCGGGAATCTTCTTTTGTCTCTGGAAAAGCACTTAGCATTTTATCTGACTGTGTCATCGAAGTGCACCTCGGGAATGCATTCATGCTTATTACCAAGTACGTTGTGATGGACCCAGTGCACACATATTTTTATTGAATAAAAAGTTGGATTTCATGGGGCATCTGGGTTGCTCAGTTGGTTGAGCGTCTCACTCTTGGTTTCAGTTGAGGTCATGATCTCACGGTCAGTTGTGAGAATGAGCCCCGAGTCGGGCTCTAGGTGTTGACAGCACAGAACCTACTTTGGGTCTCTCTCACCTCCCCCTCCCACCCTCGGTCTCTGTGCCTTCCTGTCCTCACGTGCTCTCTCTCACCCTGTCTCATTGGTCTCTCTCAGAATAAATAAACAAACATTAAAGAAAGAAAAGTTGGGGTTTGTTTCCATTATCTGTTGCTCCTGAATTTGTTCTCCTCGGTGTGGTTTATGCTTGACCCTCTCCCAGCCTTGTAAAAATACACCAACACTTTTTCGTTTTTTAATTTTTTGAAATATTTCTCCTGGCTGTATTAATGTATATATTATTCCAAAGTTATAATTACCTTTATGGTTATTACATCATGAGTATTATTTCTTTAGTTGTCTCAGCAAGAGGCAGTGACAAAAATACAGGCAGTGTTTCAGAATTCTCTCTGCTTTTTCCTGTTGTCTAACAGAGGGCGGCTCCCGCATCGTAAAGACCTCGTCTCCGCGAGGTGAGGCTAAGATGAGCATAACCAGCGACGAGGTGAACTTCCTGGTGTACCGCTACCTCCAGGAGTCAGGTAAGAGGCTCGGGTGACCGTCAGTAGGAGGCTCCTCTTCAGCGTGCCCCATGCAGGACCGTCAGCCATTGATCCAAAAACCCAGGCTATAGAAAAAGAAGAGCCAACGACGTTCTTATTAAGAGAGTTGAAAAAGAGATGGTTCCAGGGCCTTCCCGCTCCTGGGGTGGGGTTGGGAGTGTGCTCTTTCTTCCCTTGATGTTTCTGTCCAGAGATCAGATCAGAGTTAAGGTCAAGAGCACTTGGGGTCCACACGGAGGAATGGGGTAGCGGAGGGAGCCGTGAAGCGAGGGGCTCCTGACTTGCTCCACGGTGAGGGCGTTTGTGGGCCGGTGTGTCATCACGGTGTGTGTATCTACATGAACCTCTCAGCCTTGGGACCAATGATCTTTTGAGCCCCTAAACCGCTCCCCACAATGGACCCGTCTCAGTTTCCCAAAACGTAGGAGTAGCTCTGATTTCCTGCACCACTTCTGATTCTGACCAAGCCATTACTCCACAGTAAGCGAAGATCAGGCCAAGTATGTGTTCCCTGTAGACACGGTGGACCTTGTGAGTAGCAGCCGGCATCCTCTGGGAGTGGGGCTGGGGGCTGACAAGCACCCGAGGCCCGGGGTCTGGCCTGGCTTTGTCACAGGCCAGTCACAGCCCTCCAGGGCTCCCGGTGACGCCTCAGAGCCTGGATCCCGCCGTCATGCGATGTCACAGCTGCCCCCCACCGTGGGACCTCACCACAGCATACCGGGTCACTTGTGGGCGCTCTTTTGAATTCTCAGGAGTCTGAATTCTTTTTAGATTCGCGTTGTTAGGTTTTTAATTAATTTCTGAAATGAACATCGTCTTTCGAACTTGAATATATGTCATGTGAGATGTCCAGAACAACGTTCATAACGACGTTCACAAGGACATCCTGCCCCTTCCAGGACACGAGTCGACACCCGCGTTCGACTCTCCTGTGACGTTCCCCCTCTCTCTTCAGTGGTAACTCGCTGCCTGGGTTTTGCGCTTACTGTGTCCTCAGTGTCTTCCTACGTGGTGTGCACACAGATGTGTGTGTCCGCCCCAGCTGTGTGACGAAGTGCCACGGACCGGGTGGCTTGAGTAGAGAGATGTTGTCTCACGTTCCTGGAGAACTGAAGTCCAGAACCAAGGGGTGGGCAGGCTTGGTTCCTTCTGAAGCCGTGAGGGGGTCCCTTCAGGCCTGTCTCCCGGCTTCTGGTGCTTTGCTGGCTGTCTGGTGCTCTTTGACGTAGAGACGCACCACGCCCACATCTGTCTTCATCGTCACACGACCTCTCCCCGTGTGCCTCTACCTCTCTCCAGGTGGGTCAGGTTCCTCCTTTTTGTAAACCTTCCTCTCGGGAGTCTTTCTCCTTTTGGAAACAGCCGTCCTAGATATGGGCCTCCCCGTCGTACTCCAGTATAAATTCATCTTTGCGTAACATCTGCAGTGGCCGTTTCCAGATAAAGTCACTTTCTCAGGTGGACTGGGGCTTAGGACGAACTTAGGAATTCGGGGCAGGATCCATTCTGCCCCTGACTGGTAGTTTCACGCGTTTTATACACTCGGTATCCGATCATTCATGTTCCGCCACTTGGGTTTTCAAGACCAGTTCCCGGGCCTCCACCTCCGAAAGATGCCCTGACAAGAGTGAGGGGCCGCCAGCTTGTGAGGTCCCGGCTCCTGGCTCTTCCACAGTCCACCTGCAGGGTGTGGTATCCAGACCACATGGCTCAGGCTCTGAGCCTTGGACGAGTTATTTACCTCCACGAGGCTCCCCTTCCCCGCAGAAATGGTTGTCTTGGGCAACAGCAACAGAGTTCGCTGGGCACATGCCGTCACAGGGACAAACCCGTGTCCCCATCTAAGCCTGGATGTCTGTGCCTGGGGACCCCAGCTGGCACTCTCCATGGAAGGTGCAGGTTCTTTCTCCCTATAGATCGGATTGTTTGGAGGAGCTGGTCCCAGGCATGGAGTAAAAGAATTGATAAACCATGTATGACTCCGCCCGGGGACCAGGGAAGTCACTAGCCCCGATCTCTTGCTGATTTCCCCAGAGCACAGGTGCTTGCCTCCGACACAGCAGATAGATGCTCAGAGCTGTGCGCTCACCTGCCGGCTTCCAGCATCGAATCTGAATTTGAAATGCCTCTCTTTTCATTATTTTTTTTAATGTTTGTTTATTTTTGAGAGAGAGAGAGAACACAAGCAGGGGAGGGGCAGAGAGAGAGACACACACACAGAATCGGAAGCAGGCTCCAGGCTCTAAGTCGTCAGCACAGAGCCTGATGCGGGGCTTGAATCCACGAACCAGCAGATCGTGACCTGAGCCAGTTGGACACTTAGCCGACTGAGCCCCCCAGGCGTCCCCGAGATGCCTTTCTTTTAAAGCCCATGTGCATAAAGATACGGTCAGAACATGCAACGGCGTCTCAAGCCACACCTCAAGATGAATGGACGGTGCTGAGAGATACTTGTGTGTAGCCCCAAGTGAGGGTTCTGGGTGGGCCGGTCCCTGGGGCCCAAGTGTGAGCGCTGCTGGCCTCTTTGCATCAACACAGACCATGCCTGGCCCAGCAAGGCCACACTTCGTGTGTGTGTGTGTGTGTGTGTGTGTGTGTGTGTGTGTGTGTGTGTGTGTTTACATGTGGCTCCTGTTTGTGGCTAAAGCTTCCATAACCAGGCGACCGAGGAGGGAGTTGGGGACGGGTTGGATAGGATGTCACCAGTGGGGATTTTATGTCACAACTGTGAACGCCTGTCTTCTCTCTCTCACAATCCTTCCGGACGGTCCCACCTGTCACATGGGTATTTAAGAAAGCCATGCTTGCGCTCCATGACCCCAGGACCTGGACTTGACCCGAGTCCTCCCATGAGGATGTGGTCAAAAGCAGGGGGAAAGGAAATGCCTGACATTCAAGTGTTCCTTTGGGGGTTGTTCTATATGTTCGTCTTGAACCCTCACGTTTCAATGAATCCCATGTTAGTTGAGCACCCATCAAGTGCAAAGAGCACCTTCTCAACCTATCTGTGCCTCCTTTCTAGCTGTAGAATAGGGTTGGGCGGGGGGGGCGCCTGTTGGTTCAGTTAGTCGAGCGTCTGACTTCGGCTCAGGTCATGATCTTATGGTTGGTGGGTTCGAGCCCCACGTCGGGCTCTGTGCTGACAGCATGGAGCCTGGTTCAGGTTCTCTGTCTCCCTCCCTCTCTCTCTCTCTCTCTCTCTCTCTCTCTCTCTCCCTCCCTCTCTCTCTCTCTCTCCCTCCCTCCCTCTCTCTCTCTCTCTCCCTCCCTCCCTCCCTCCCCCTCCCCTGTTCATACTCTGTCTTTCTTAAAAATAAAGAAACATTAAAAAATCACATTCCATGATCGTGCCTCTCCTTCAGGCACCTCTGCTCCCCCCAGCCCCACGTACCTCAGCAACTCATTAAAAATAAGCCCCATGTTACCAAAGGTGACTTCTTCCCGCACGCCTCCCCATCCAGCTGTCTCCGCCAGAAGGCTCCAGGAGGTTCTCTGCTGCCGAGTCCTATGCAGCAGGGTCCCCTCCTTACACCTGTGCGGACAAAGGTGGGTGCTGGGGAGGGAGGGAGGAGGCGGGCGAGGGCTGGCTTCCCAGTGAGGTAGACCACTGGTTCTCTGTCCACGTGCTCTCAGCCTCACTGCGCACAGACAGACCCAGAAGGTTCCAAACCGCCTCCACGGGTGTGATGAGGGACAAGTTCCCGGAACCATGGTCATTCCTGGTGCTGGCCACCTGAGCTGCAGTTGAGAGCCTGCCTTATCTGCGCCGAGCCCTCGGCCGGCACCCCTGGCCCCCCGCATTTCTGGCAGCTTTTGTCTGCAGCCCGTCCCCAGATCCTCTGTATTGGTGAGGGTGCTGTGAATCACCAGTTGTCTCCCTTCCTCGTTGTGAGAACCTGGGCCACGTGACTTCGGACCTGGAAAGGACTCCCCATGGCGGGCTTGCTTCATCTCTCTGCCCACGGGCAGCAGAACTGAGATCACCTTATCTATCGTCCCTTGTGCTCAACCGGAAGCGAAGGTGTAGGTTCCACCCCCAGAGGCCGACAGGGCAGACAGAGATGCCTCGTTAGTGTCCTTAGTTGTCTGAAGCAAGGGCCTTGCCCAGAAAAGCACCCTGTAGATCCTATTGGCTGTGACATCTCACCGTAGTGACTTCGGGGCTGTCTGAAAGATGAAAGTGCTGGTTGGTAAGCAAGGCTTTTATTTATTTTCTGTTTCTCTTAATGTTTTTTTTTTTCTTTTATGTTTTTAAAATTTATTTCTGAGAGAGAGAGAGATAGCATTAGCAGGGGAGGGTCAAAGGGAGAGGGAGACACAGAATCTGAAATAGGCTCCAGGCTCTGAGCTAGCTGTCAGCACAGAGCCCAACGCAGGGCTCGAACCCGTGAACCGTGAGATCATGACCTGAGCCAAAGTCGGATGCTTAACCGACTGAGCCACCCAGGCGCCCCTTAGTGTTTATTTTTGAAAGAGAGAGAGTACATGAGTGGGGGAAGGGCAGCGAGAGGGAAACCGAGAAGCCCAAGTGGGGACCTTGCTATCAGTGTGCCGAGAGCGTAGAGCCGGATGCCAGGAGCCCATGAACCAGGACATCGTGATGTGAGCCAACACCAAGAGTCAGATGCTTCACCAGCCGAGCCACCCTGGTGCCCCAGCAACACAGGCTTTTTAAATTAAACAGTAAGGAACTTGAATTACCAGCGACAGTGCCACAGTGACCAAGATGAGTCTGGTTTTGAGGGCTAAGACCCCGCCGGCCTCTCCCTTCTGTGGGTTAATCATGGGGTCAGTGTTGGTGTCCTGACCGTTGTTAAAGAAGCAGAGGACACTCTCCCGCCCAGCCCTGAGCTCACTCCCCACCTGAGCTAGAATGAGATGAGGGAGAAACCCCGTGAAGGTCTCAGCCCTCCCCGCCTTTGCGAGCAGCGTCTGCAAAGATTGGATGAACCGGGAGGGTTTGCCCCCGCTTTCTT